ATTATACACATAATACAGTCCACTTGTCCTTAGTCAAGATATACACTTAAAGCGTGGTTACCCCGAACAACGAATTGCTCGAGACCTCGCTTACAATATTTTTTCTTTTTATTAATTGTAAATTAAACTATAACTTTTCAATTTATTTCACTGACATTTTTTTTTTTTTTAATTACTGCTGTCAATTTTTGAATAACCTTTTTACATTCTGTTTATCATTTAATTTTTAGACAAAAGATGTAAGTCAATATTGTACTTCTTTATATATTTAGTTTTATAATTTAATTTATGATTCGTGTCTCATTACTCAAGAAATGATGATGATAATCAAATTTTTACATACTCACTGAGTACCATCATATGATCTATGAAGTCATTAAAACAATAGTTGATAACAAACACCCTTTATTGGATACATCACTGTCCAAATAGAGATATAGGTACATTGTCTACAGAAAGTTGACTCTCCGGGGTTCTGAAACTATAAAAATCGATCAACATTCATTTTAAATGTATTTTGTTATTAACGGTATGTCCATATTATCACATTTATTTCAAATTATTATAATTATTTTTTTTTTTGTTTTTAGTGCATATTTATAAAAGTATTTATATATTTTTATTTTTAATTACTATACAGTATACAATAAAGTTAAACTAATATATTTTAATCCAACTAACCATTATTTTGGTTCGTATAAACTATAAATAACACGACATATAATTAAAAATAAACTTTATATTCTATAATATTGAATTTAAAAAAATAGTGTAAAATTATATTATTCAGCCACGTATGACTGATTCACAGCTAAGTCTATCACACTCATAGTTCTGAAATTCGATATTCATCAAATCTTGAAGAAAAGTATGTTCCAATCAAACCCAAATGTTTAAGATGGACCTACACAGAGATTTGTTGGTTAACAAATAACTAAAATATTGTTTTATTTACAAAATATTTGTTTATTAGTTACTATTTTTTACAGAAAATAAATATTTGTAATAACACTGTTGTAGTAGTCATAATATTAGACATCTCTCTTTAATACATATTTTTCCAGAACCACTTAAATTTAATGAGTACAATTATACATAGTTCTCATTTAACGGGGGTTAATACGTGATAATTTTACTGGTTCTGGTTAATTTGTCATGACCCATTAGGTTAAGAAAGAAGAAAATAACTTTTAATAACCCAGAAAATATTAAATATTCATAATATACCTATGAGTTTGAAAATCGAGAGATATATGTATGTCATATAGCAACATAACTACATAAGTAACATAATGCGCTCTACATATCATTCAAATGAATGTTGAGAATCTATCAAACTTTTTCATTTCATGAATTTGTTTAATTTTTAGAATGCTTAACATTTTATAAACCAGAGTTACTGATATATTCATGTAAAATATTCAATAGAAAACTGTCACAATATAGTTTTTTTTACAGAAGTTAGAGATTTGGTCATTGAATATGAGCAAAAAACCTGTATGTATTTATAGTGTTTATTAATGTGTTAGGTATTTTTAATTTTTAATTTATTTTAATTTATTAATTTATATTCAGAAAGGTCTTCTGTCTGTGTAAAATGTTTTTGTTTGATTTATCAACTTTTCGGGCATTCTTAAAAAATATTTTTCGTGTAAAATAGATGAAAATTTCAGTATTTTTATGGTAAACATATTCATATTAAATGGGCTTATATTGAATACTTTCTTGTCTGATTTTTTTGGAGCTAAAAAATGATCTATATATAAGTATACAAATAAAGTTTCGTGTTTGTGGAAGGACAATCAGCATTCTAATGACTACACTCAACAAATCTAATACCAAGTTATTTTTCAGGTGAAACAAATTTGGGAGAAACTGTTTTTTGTGAATATTACATTACACCAAATGAATATGTTGCTTTTTTGAATAGAGTCTTTAAAGTTAAAAATCGTTCTTAATGTTTTGTTTGAATTATAGTAATTATACTTTTTATTATTATTTAAATATAAATTAAATTTTTGATTTTCCTTAATTGATTATCAGCTCCGGTGACAGGGGCCATTGGCTTTATTATATTATATTTATTTGTAATTGCAATGATAAAAGCAAAAAATAAAATTAATTTATAATTTAATTTATGTATTTATATTTTGTTATTGCTTTACAAGCCCTATGTTATGCGTCTTTTTACCGCCAACGATCTCTATCATTTACCTGCTCCCATCCTGCTGTAATTTCTTCTAGTAGTTAATTGACACTTGCCATCTATCTTCCTCACTCTGGTTCTTTTCCCCTCTACTTATATTATGTTAAAATAACACAACAGATTATATTTTGGAAAATATTTCATCGTTTTTAACTATTAAGTATTGAATTCCATATTTAATGCACATTTGTTGTTGTATAGTGCATACTTCTGCGAAACTTGACCATTTTATCATTTCAAAGTTTTCGACCGAACCAAAATGTCCAGCTCAATTTGTAAGTATTTGAAAACAAGAATTTAAAATTTGTCAGTCATTCCTCTCCTAATTATACCTAAAAAGAAGTAATCCAAACTTTATACAGCTTTTTCAACAAATATCTTCTTTTTCACAAATACTAACAAATTGCGCTTTTCATTTTTGCACAATCAAAGTTTAAAAAGCTGGATAAAACACATCCAACTTCTTTTCATAGATAATTAAGGGAGAAATGAATTACAGATTTAAAATTTTTTTAAAACCTTGAAATGATGAAACGGGCAAATTTCGCAGAATTTAGAGGTGATTACCAATATATTGTTCTGTGGTATGACACACTATTCTTCGTAGTAAAAACTCCTCAACGTTGTACAAACCGTTCAGCTGTCCACGCATCATCATTTTTAAGGCTATTTTGTTAGTGTGATTTTTATTTTAAAAATTAATATTAAAAAAAAATGTTGTGGAATTTTTAATATTTAATTTCAATTATATAAGAGGACGCTACACTGAAATTTGTTGTCTTTTCAACTGACGAGGAAGTGAAGGGGGTGGTCGGCAAGTGGTCAAAGGAGGTGGCGGCAGAGTTCTATGATTCAGCCTTTAATCTGCAATCTCACAACCTGCATTGAAAAAGTATGTAGAAATATAGCACATAAATATATTAATATAACCACGTAGTTTGTTTTTTTTCAATACATTTTTTTGAAGCCTACAAAAATTGAGTACACTTGTTTTCTGGACACGCCTCGTAATAAAGGGGGATGGATGCATTAATGTACCAACTCAAAAAAATTTTCTCACATAGCTCGACAACTGTCTCCTATGCCTATACATACATAGTAATCAGTAGACATATATTATACCATATTCCAAAATACCCCCATTCGAGACGTCCCTGATGATCGCTACTGATAACAAATTCGTGAAGGTAATATCCAAACAATCAAGTAAGACTTTAGAGAAGAGCGGTAGGCATTTAATAAAGATATCGTGATATCGAGTTACAAACATCATATTTGGAGAACAAAAACTAATACATACTACTTAACCTAACCTACAGTTCACTTCATTTACCGTCGACAATCAAACAGCCGATCTACCATCGAGACTGAAAAACAAGTCCTTTTCAGGACTATTAACAAAGCCCTACCCAGCGCGTTGCTAAGTCGTTCTCTACAAGCTCTCAACCTTATCACGACTTACTCAAAATCTCGATCTTTTGGCTAGCTTCATGCATGTATTATTCAATCAATCTGTATTCACCGTCCTAAAAATTTTAATTTTTAATCGCGCCTCTGCAGACCCGTTACTGCCTCCCGCGGCCCGCTTATTCAAGCTAGCCGTGCGGTCTAGATGTAATGTAATCCCCATAACCCTTAACTTGGTATTGTATCCTAGGAGATACACTCACTTTTATCATTTTTAAATACTTTAAATATTTATTTTTTCTATATACATTTTAACGTTTTTAATAATGCTAGACTGTTTGATTACTATCATATTTTTATTTCCCGCTTAAATGTTATCATACTTTTTCTGTTAAGCATTACAAATCGAGTATTACCCTGTTATAAAATATACAAGAATTCCCAAATTCAAAATGGTCAAAAACCGTAATTTGTTAGAAAAATGCACGAAACAAGGGTAAAAAACTATTAAAGGAAGTATTTATGTTATAATTACATATATTTATTTGATTAAAATATTGTATAAATAGTTTTAAATGTCATTTGAATCTTATGTATCCTATAAGATACATTGCCACAACGCCTGTAAGTTTATACATGTATCTCAAAAGACATTTCCCTTTTATTTTTGTATTATTAATAATCGATTTTCGGAATAAAGGAAGATAACCAATTCATAATATTAAATTATTTTTTTTATATTATTAAACTATTATTATAAATTAATCGAAATGGGCTCCACGTGGAGCCTTATTGATTAATTTTATCACATTTTCCAATGAAATAATAATATTATGTTTAGTTATATGTTGTTTTTCTTGGATAAACATGTCTTGTTGAACCAATGTTATAGTTACTACAAATCTTTTATTTCTGTACAATTATTATATACATTATATATTACCATCCTGTGCAAAACAAATATGTACCGCACCAGAAAGTCGCCCGCTTCCACTCGAGCTGCAATCAACGCGATAATCCATACTATAAATTATTTTATAAATACGTCGTGTTTAGAAATGTTTTCTAGAACAAGAAAAATGATGGCTTTGGCCTTACTTCCGCTAGATAGTGGATCTAGTTCGGAGTCAGAGATAGGTAGATGAACAACATATACCAGAGATTGACAGGCTCATGGCAGAATTTGAAGAAGAGAATGAAAATGATGTAGGTTTCTTTTAATTACTGTATTTTATTATATTTATTTTTTATATAAATAATACAAAATAAATATAAATATATTATACTATAGAAAATAATATATAATCAAAATTATAATGTATATTATATATTAATTATATAAAATATATAAAATAAATAAATTATATTTATATTTTTATTATATTAAATAATATAGGATTGGAACGAAGAAGTGTTTGAAGAACTTGATGCTCAGATAGTACCAGAAGAAACTGAGATGTTAAGAGATGAAGCTGTTTCAGAAATAAGTATTCATTTACCATCTCCAAATCAAGTACCAAGTCCTGCAACACCTCTTCCAACGGCATCATTATCTGTAACACCTGTAAGTTCATCATCACGGCGTTCAGCTCGAGTTCATAAAAAAACAGTTATTGAGACTCCGGTCATCACTCCTGTTCACCATCCAAAAAAAAAGTGCCGTTGAAACATATAGATTTCACTTGGAAATCAATAAAAAAATTTAATTTTGGTGTTGAGGTTCCAGTTGAACAAAACTATATTATTAACGATACTATTTTAACGCCCTTAGATTACTTTACGAAAATATTTTCTAATGAGGTAATCAAATTGTTAGTTGAACAGTCTAATTTGTTTTCAATCCAAAAATTTTCGAAACCTCTTTCTACAACTCCTGAAGAAATGAAACATTTTTTAAGTATTAAATTATGGATGGGTATAGTTAAAATGCCGTCATATATTGATTATTGGGCACAAGGCACTAGATTTTGACCAATAGCAGATATTAGGCCAATAAAAAAATATCAACATATATTGCGATGCTTACACTTAACAAATAACGAATATGATAACAACACCGATCGATTTTTTAAAGCAAGGAATTCATTGAAAAAATTCGTATTAACTGTTTGAATATTTCTCAAGGAAACAAATTTTCAATAGATGAAATGATGGTGCCTTACAAGGGAAAGAAGGCTGGTTCACGTAGGCATTATATGAAAAATAAACCGAAGAAGTGGGGCTTTAAACTATTTGTCCATGCTGGAATCGATGGAATGGTGTATGATATTTTCCCATACTCCAGAGAAAATACATTCCAGAATGTACAGTTCTCCGATTATGAAAATAGATATTTCGATTTAGGACCAAAATTAGTTATTGCATTATGCAAAACTATCCCCAATAAACCACTCAGTTCAGTTTTTTTTGATAATTTTTTTACAACACCGGAGCTTATTCATTATTTAAGACATGAATATGGCATTCTTAGTCTTGGAACATTAAGAAAACAACATTTGCGTGGATGTTATATAGACGATAAGAAGTTATGTAAAATGCCACGGGGTACCTTCTTTAGCAAGTGTGATAAAAAAAATAAAGTAATTATTGTTAAATGGTTGGACAATAAAATTGTTATTTTGGCAAGCTCTTATGCAGGTGAAGAATCCGTCCAAACAATTCAAAGATATTCAAAAACCGAAAAAAAAAGTTCCTGTCCCTTATCCTAAAATAGTTGAGGAATATAATACCCATATGGGTGGCGTAGATCTTGCAGATATGTTTATAGCGCTTTACCGAACAAACATGAAGACGAATGGTATATGGCATTATTTTCGCAGATGTTAGATCTATCTGTAAATAATGCCTGGTTATTATATAGAAGAGATAGCGAAAGTGAAAAAAACACGATGAGGTTAAAAGAATTTAGAAATGATATTGCTATTACATTGGCTTGTAAAAATAAGCCAAGAGTTGGTCGTCCTTCTTCTTCGATAAAAAAAGAAAAACAAAACGTAAAAAAAGTTCAAACACCGGTTGCACCAAGGCCTCCACAAGAAGTGATACAAGATAAAATAGACCATTGTCCAGCATTTACCACCAAAGGCAGATGTAGGTATTGCAAATGAGGCCAAACTTCTGTCATATGACTTAAATGTAAAAACCGTCTTTGTTTTGTGGAAGGGAGAAATTGTTTCCAAAACTTTCACTATGCAAAATAATTGTATATATTTTTATCTATTGTTTAGTTTCAATTGAAACTCATTAAGTATTAAATTAAATAATAACATTAAAGGAAGTTCCTATGCATTAATTTAAAAATAAACTGTTTATTCATATTTTAAACGTGTTAAAGTTATGGTTTTATTTTATATAATATTAAATAAACTATTATGAATTAATGTTTTTGTATTTCCTGATTTACTGGCAACGGCTTATATTATACACATGTTCTTGGTAATGTATCTCCCTAGATACAACTCTTATAATAGGAGTTTATAGCAATGTATCTCACCAGATACATAGTACATATTATGAGGTTATGGCAATGTATCTCACAGGATACATCTTATAACTTTAAAAGTTTAAGTCCTAAAATTTTTATTTTTATTTTTTTGAGTTCAAGGGCCTCAAAATATAAAGAATAACCAAACTTCATAATTTTCTCACCAATAATGTACACTTGCCAAGTTAAGGGTTAATTAGGTATATAATGCAAGCTACAATTGTGTATACAATTCACCACTCAGTTACCGCTCGGATAGATCACAAAAAATATATTATACGACATTTATTTATAAAAGTCTTAAAATTAATAAATTATTTTCTATATAATATGTTATATAGCCATATAGGTGACACAAAGTGACAGTAGATACATGTAATCAAATGTAAGATATAATAATAACAAAAAACAATTTTATTAAAAAAAAACACATGCACATAAAAATGAAATATGGTGTATCATAGCACAAAAGTAAAAGTATAAGTTAAAATAAAATAATAAGAAATTAAAAATTTCGTGAAGGGAATTGAAAAAAAAAGCAAAAAATTCAGACGGCTACGTAACAATGGGCAGGCACGTAGAGCGCTGACACCAGTTGTAGCTGACATCGGTCTCGAACCCTAACCTATCCATTAACTACGTTTGGGGAGACCTACGCCTAATCGACCGACCGACAGATTGAGTTGAAAAATATTGCTAAAACTACAGCACTTTACAACTATTTATCCACTATGAAGAATACTGCATTACATATTCAATAACAAATTAAATTCGTATGAATTATGTGTAATCAAATTTAAATTGCATATACAACGTTTTCGTTATGTGTATACCATTTTTCCTATCAATAATTTTATAAATATTGTACCCCATTAGGTATTAATACACTATTTAAATGTAGTTTAATCAAAAAAAAATGAATACTGATGTCGCGATTTGAAGATTGATATTAAGTGTAATTGATAAAGTTAACTATAGAGATGTCAATACCAATTTCACATTTTTTATTTTCGCTTATATTATTTTCTATATCTAGAAGAATAATAGGATCTGCAATATTATCGTTGGTCTGGATTACGCTGGTATTGACGTACAAGTTTTTTTTGTTTCTAACCAATTGATCAACATTTATTGACGGAACAGCATTATTTTTTAAAAAATGGTTCTTGAGAATTTGGCTTCAGTTTTTTTTTTTATTACTGATGATTCATCCAAATTTGATTCTAAAAAATGTTTATTGCAAATTCTGGCATTTTGTCCTGGGTGGAATGTGATTTTCTTTTGCATAAATCTATCCAAATTGCAAATCTTTTAGGTGAATTTTCTCTATTTAGAAAACGATGTCCATTGCATCCAAGCCCACGGAAGAATTGATTTTGATGTCTCAGATTTTTCAAAAATGTTATTAAAATTTTCTCCATCACATTGATTTAACAGAATTTCAATTTCTGCAAGTATTGCATCAATGTCATGAATTTTCGCACTATTTGTCATTTCGAGAAATAATTGTACAGCATTCGCCACATTTTCTAATGGACAAGTATTATTGTAAAATGGTATTTTAAAAATATTAAATAAACCTTGAGTGTTTCAATAGTTATTTTTAAATGTTCATTTGTTAAGTTTATCAGTGTGTCTAATACTTGTTAAAATTCGTTTCGATAAAATAATTTTAATGAGAAGTCTAATTGAGTCATTGGATTAGAATCTATTCTTTTTGGTATAGACCGTTTATGATGATGTTTCTTAAAATCTGCTATTGGATCGATATCTATTTTGCTTGAAAATATTAGAGTTGCATCTACTATAGTGTCCAGTCCATCATAATCTTTGTTTATATTTTCAAGCGATGTAATTGTACCCTCTATTAAATTACTTGCATCAATTATATTCAATTCCTTTGCTTCCAGCTTCTCTGTGAGTGCTTTTAGTTTATATAATACATTTTTCATTAACATTATGAAACAATAAAATTAAATGTTGTTATTTTTTTAAACCGAGCTATTGATTGGCCTTTAGTTTTTCTATTATACAAATTTGAAGAGGAGATTTCTTGCAAAGTTTCAAGAATTATTTCAAACTATGTCCAAACTGCTTTAACCGATTCTGCACGAGCCGTTCATCGCGTTTTTGATAAATTATACAACTGCAAACTACCTTTAGTTTCAGATAATTTTTTACTAAGAATTCCATACCACTTTGTACTAGCATTAAAAAAAAACATACAGACTCTCTAGGTTACCAATTAAGTTAAGTATAATGACACTAGCATTGCAGCCATGTTCTAAAAATGTGTTAATACAGTGCGCTTGACATGGGATATAAGGTATATGGTGATTTTCCAGTTTTAAAAATTCTTTTTGCGCTCCGTGGAATTGACCAGACATACTTGAGGCAAAATCAAAAGACTGAAAAGCGATGAAGTCTGGATTTAATTCATTTCTTACTAAGGTATCATAAACATTCTTTCCAATCCCGAATCCAGTTTTATCCGTATATTCATTTATTCCAAGAAGTCTCTCTTTGATATTTCCATTATTATTAACATATCTTACACATATTGCCAATCTATATTGGTGGGTAATATCGGAAGTCGTGTCTGCCAGAACTGAATACATTTCCTCATTTTTTACCTCCTCAATTACTCGATTAGAAGTTTCTGAAGAAAGCAGTTCTATGAATTCATTATGAGACCTTGATTTATTATCTAACCATGTTTTCATAACATAACAATGTCTGAAAATTAATTCCACAATTTGAATGAAATTTCCATTTAATTTAAGTTTTGATAAACTGTTATTGTAAATAATAAAGGGTCCGAGACATGTTCCTTGCGGAACTCCACAAGTAATTTTTTTTTTCAGATTTCATTTTGCCTGTTTTTGTGCAACATGTTCTATTTTCTAAATAATTTTTAAATATATTATGTGCAACACATCTTTTACCAATGCTTTCCATTTTTAATAGTAATATTTTGTGATAAACAGTATCGAAAGCTTTTTTTAGGTCTAAGAAGACAACGAGTTTATTTTTTTTATCAGCTTTAATGTGTGAAAAAAGTTTTGAGAAAGCATCACTGTACTTTTTTTTTTCTGAAACCAAATTGACAATTGGATAGTAAATTATTCTTGTCAAGAAAATTTATAACTCTTGTATAAAGACATTTTTCAAAAATGTTTGCAACATTAGAAATAAGAGAAATTGGTCTATAATCATTGGGATCTATTTTGCTAACAGTATTTTTGTATATAGAAATAATATCCTTGTGTTTGAACTCATTAGGAATGTGATTTTTTTTCAATAAATAAATTGAACATAACCGATAAAGGTCCTGCGATTGATGAATGTTCTGATTTTAATACCTCCACACTAATTTTATTGGAACCTGGAGCGATATTATTTTTAAGAGAATTAATTTCGAGAACTATTTCATCTGAGGTGATTGGTTTGAGAAAAATAGAATTAACACAATTTTTACTTTTAGTTTTAGATTCTACAATTAGTATGTTAGATGCTAGATTAAAACCTACATTTACATAATGATTATTTAGTATGTTACTATCAATGTCGAGAACAGTTTTATTAATTTATAAATATTTGGATAGTAGTTCCCATTGTACTTTGGGATTTTTTTTACTAATAATATTGATTTGTTCTATATAATAATAATCACGGAGAATTTTTATGTCTAATTTTTGATTTGTATATTTAATTTTCTTCTTTTCCTTTTAAATTAATTTAATCCTTTTTTTTCTCCTTTTTAATAAATTTATTTCGTATTTTAATAGAAATAATAATACCTTTTGTAATCCAAGGATTACACACTGTTTTCGACAAAGTTGTTTTATTTAGATTTCGATTATTGTTAATATTATTTTGGTTATTTAAATATTTTGATAAAAATGTATTTACAAACTTACTATGTGGTTACAGCAAGTGCGTTGGTCGTTTGATGTAACACTCCTTCCCCCTACGTTTGTCATGATTTAGCATCAATTCACTATTGCATGACAAATTTCAGGGAGAGTGCCAGCAATGCGACCAACAACTTTTCAGTTTAGCCGGCGAGTGTAAAATAATTATGCTGGTCGATCATATTTATTAACTAATGAATTTGTTCTAGAATATTCGATAGCGGAATACTACGTCACACGATATCTAAGGATATCCTCAGTATTCGTTAAAAAGCACATATATATTTATAATATTCGGTTTGTTTGACCTACATTTATTTAATATTATTACGATGTTAGTATAATGTATATTCCCTCTATGCAAAAATATATTTGTAAAAAACATATACCTATTGAATGTCTTGAAAATAAAATAATTTTTTTGAACAATCCTATGTATTATCATATTATTCAATAGCATTAAATGTTTATCGTAATGGATGTTATATATGTATGTATGTATTATTATGTATAGCAATCGAACAATTTATTCAAATATAATAGACGGTATGCACAGGATTGATAGCAGCGCGCCGTAGTAGTGAAAGTATGAACTAATTTCGGGGATCTATTTACTATTATGCATCTATCATCTATTATGATCTATTATCTATTATATTTTTATATTATATTATTAATTATTATTCTAATGTTCCTGGTTGTTCTGACTTGTGTAGATAGTTGTCGTCTATTTAGCAAGTTTGTCTACTATATTTTTTATTTTTATCCATATTAATTAAAATAAATCAATATGACTGATTTAACTTTGAGCCACGGATTTCAGTCAATTTCGTACAATGTTGAATTCACAAATAATAAAGGGAAGAAATTGTATGACAGCAATCATGTAAAAAATGTAGTAGAGATAAAATGCAGCAATGGATGGTCTTATATTAAAGGCTCAGTTATAAGACAAACATCAGTTACTTTAGAACCATGGAAAGTAACTCTTGAAGTAAATAATTTATATTTATATATTTCATTTTTCCTTCATACATTTTTAAGAAAATTTAATTTTTTACTATAATATAATTATGTCAAATATTAAAATAAATAAAACACTCTATAACATCGGTTCCCAAACAAAAACTGTGTTGTAGATAGTATTTAATATGTAGGTCTATTCCAAATTGAAATATTTAAAAACGTTTCAACTACCTGATTATTATCTAAGTACTTTACTAGTTAAATGTTATTTATAAACAGATTGATGAAACCAGGTTGGTATTTTGTGCTTCTTGTGGTTGTCCTGCTGGCGCGGGTGCTAAATGTAAGCACATTGCTGCTGTAATTTGGTACATAAACAATGAAGATGGAACATCAAAAACAAGTTTACCACAAGAGTGGGGTACACCTACAAATTCTGCTCAAAACAAATATAAGAAGGGTAAAAGAATAGAAGATTTGTTTCCAAGAAAAAAATTAAAAGCAAACACTATAGTAACTACTCCTGTCTGTCACTCAACTCTTGTTGATAGTTATGATATTTTTGATATACCCTGTAGTTTTAGCAATATGTTGAAAGTTACATCACTTAGTGAAGTTGAAAGGGAATGTAAACTATGTTTAAATGATATTCTAGACAGTTTAGAAAATCAGTTTTTAATTAGCTCCTATAAAAAACATTTCTCCTTAATTTTATTTTATCAAAAATATAATGATATTAATTTGTTTTNTATGTTTCCCTTAAAAATGAATGAACATATTTTTTATAATAGGTATATAAAAGTTAATCAAAATGCATGTTTTAACATTTTTATTGAAACATTAACCCTTAAATAGATTTTGTATCTTACTAGATACATTATGTTTGTACAATTATTTTTGCGGAATTTGAAAAATCATTTTATTATCAGACTATTGGCTACACTGGAAGTATTCATGATAGATAAAAAAAAAAATATTTGGCGGGAATGTGAATAGATATCAGTTAACAGTTATCATTTGATTGACGCGTATCAGTGAAGTTATTGTGATTATCATTTTTTCATTTTGTTAACTCGTTCTAAAGGAGCGAAAACGCGTCTAGTGTTCAATGAAGTGAGCAAATTCATTAAAGTAAGTCTTAACTAATATTTTCATGCATTATTTAAGTAATTTCATCAAGTCATATTGATTTCCTAGTAACTATAATATGTTGTATCTATGGAGATACAAAAATTAAATACCATTATTTATAGTATGTATCCTACAAGATACACACTCTTAAATTCAGTATTCACGAAATTTACCTGTTAGTACATTTCATAATTAACAATATTACTTTTTTTTCAGTTTTATTTTAAAAAATGTATTCAAGATCAAGGAAGATGATTGCTATGGCCTGTCCCCCTGTGGATAGTGGTTCAGATGGGTCTGATGATGACAATGCATCAGAAATACCTCAGCATGAAATGGAGGAGCTTATGGCTATGTTGGACGAAGATTTGGAAGATTTGGTAAGTTAATTGTATTTTTTTAAATATTAATTTACATATTTTTTACTTGGGTACTAAAATATTTTGAATGGTAGGAATATAATGAAATGTTATTGAATGAATTCGAAAAAGAACAAGAAACAGTCGATGAAAATATATTACAGGAGAAAAATATAGAACCAAATTATTTTATTACTGAACAACAATTATCTCAGGATACTCCAATACTTAATCATGGAAATCTGATATATTCACAAGCAATTCCATCACCTTTTCAAGCAACTCCATCATCTTCTCAAGCAACTCCATCACCTTCTCAAGCTACTCCATCACCTTCTCAATCAACTCCTTCGTCCAGCTCAAGACGTTCAAAACGTTTACATAAATCACCTAACATTTCTAATCAAGGTAATGATGAAGTACAAACTAATAATCAACCAAATCTAATCAATCTAACTCAAAAAATAAAGAAAGTCCCTCTAAAACATTTTGAATTTAAATGGACAAAATCTAGTCCTAATTTTAGTGTTGAAGTTCCTTTAAATCAAGAGTATCCTGTCAATGAATATACAAAGACTCCTTTGGAATATTTTTTAATTTTTTTTTCTGATGACATATTTAATTTAATTGTGGAACAAACAAATTTATATTCATTTCAAAAGTTTAATAAATCAGTTTGTACTTCAGTTACAGAAATAAAAGACTTAATTGGTATTATGTTAATTATGGGTATTGTGAAAATGCCAGCTTACTCAGATTACTGGTCACCATACACAAGATATAGTCAAATAGCAAATGTTATGTCACTAAAAAGGTAAGGTTTTCTGTTATTACCTACATATAAGTATTATGTTATCAAAGTTTTTATATTTACAATTATGTAAACACATTTTATAATTTTTTGTTAATTTTTTTATTTATATTACTTATGTCTTATTACAAAAGATTATTTTAGTTTGCAACTAAAATCTGAAAAAAAGTTAATTTGCTTTCTGTTATTACCTACATATAAGTATTATGTTATCAATGTTTTTATATTTACAATAATGAAAACACATTTTATAATTTTTTGTTAATTTTTTTATATATGTTACTTATGTCTTATTACAAAAGATAATTTTAGTTTGCAACTAAAGACTGAAAAAAAGTTAATTTGTTTTCTGTTATTACATATAAGTATAATGTATCAATGATATAAATTTATAATTATAATAAAAGGTTTTAAAAAAATACCCTAAATTGGTTTTTAGATCATCAATATATTATAGATCGTCGTATAATTTATAGAACTAAGTAATAAGAAATATGGATTATGTATCTTCAGGGATACATGTGTTAAACAGTGGCCTCGAGATTTTGTGTCCTATAAGATACATCTCATATTTCAAATTTGAGTATTCAAATTTTTTGAGGACGATGTTTTCTAAGTTCAGTGACCTTAAATAAGCCAGAAAAACCTTACTTTAAAATTTTCAGTTGCTTTTTTCGCCTAGTGAACATTTAAGGGTTAAATCAGTCTGACAGTGATCATTGGTTTGAAAATAGAAAAAACCGTATATCTGCTAGCACCAAGGCACATAAAATTAGAGTTTGCAGGAATTTAACTTCTGTTGGGCAATTACATTTAGTTAATACTTTTCTTAAAGAAACAAATTTAGGGAAAAAAGGTTCTATAAATGTTACTTATGGGAAAAATACTGAAGGAGTTGCAATTGATGCTTATAAGCAAATGTTTGACAAAGAAGTTATTAAAAGTGGATTAGTTATTTGTCAATTTATTCCTTGGTTATGTGCTAGTCCAGATGGATTAGTTTTAAAAAACGGTAAAATTGATGCAGTTCTTGAGATAAAATGCCCAATTTCTTGCCGAAGCAAACCCATAGTAGAAAATGGAATTCCAAATTTAAAATATTTATTAGTTGAAAATGGGATACTCAAGTTAAAAAAATCATCAATGTATTTTACACAATGTCAAATATTAATGTACTGTACTGGTTTATTAACATGTGAATTTTTTATTTATAATAATATTGAACCAGTGGCATTGACTATACAAAGAGATGAATTATTTTTAACAAATACTGTAAAAAAAATAGAAACATTTTTTTTTAATTATTACTTGCCAGAATTAGCTTCCAGGCAATTGTTATAATGTGCAATACTAATTGATAATTTTTATAAATAAACATGTAATGCATATTTGTGAAATAAAGTTTATTTTATAAATCAATGTTAGTTTATAATAATTTTAATATTTTTTTATATAATATTTATTATATTTATATAAAGTTTATATAAATATAAAATTACATTTTTAGGCATAATAATTATTAATATACAGTATACAGTGTTAATACAGTTTATAAGTATTAATTAGGTAGGTACACAAATCATAACTTATTTTTAACTATTAAACAAAAAAAAATACACCATAAGACTTAATTATAGGTAATTGCAGATTGGTTAAAACGCAACATATATGTACAATATCATCAACATGGGGAAGAAGGTTAATTTTTAATTTATTAAGGATACCATACATTTTCATTCGTGCAAAGACCCTTTCAATGTGTATACGAACACTAGCTATACTATATGTTTCCAGTATTTCTGTCTCGGAAAAACGGCCATTATGCAATATTGGAGGCATAATTAAAATACTGTTACTATTTTCAATTTCAGTTTGTATGCCAGGAAACCCTTTGTCAGCAAGTACCTGATCACCGGGTTCTAATTTTTTTAAAAATCCTGAATCGTTTGTAATATATGAGTCACTTGACCTACCACCATAACATTTTGAAACAAAACAAATCATTCCATTTGGGTTGATTGCCACAAGAAATTTTATTGTATAACTACTTTTATATCTTGAATATAAATAAACCCGTTGTTCTACAGTATTTGGTTGCTCGACCTTAACTTCAGTACAATCAATAATACATCTGCAATCTGGATAATTTATTTTAAAAGCTTCAGGTAAACATTGTTTTACTGAATATTTATCGGGCCAAAAAATAAAGTCTTTAGTCTTTGAACTTAAAAAATGAAGACATTCAGTAAATATTCTTGAAACTGTAGAAGGATTGATTC